TATTAGTTGCTAAAAAAATAGTTCTCTCAGTCTCATCAGCAGCTACACTTGCTTCGGCAATGTCAGTATTTTTGTGCTCATTTTTTCTTTCCTTATGTTTTTCTTTATTTTTCAGCTTATATCATTCAGAGATATTGTGACTTTTCTTATGACAATAGCGACACTCTAAATTATTGTATCTGGATATGGAGTCGGATTTGCCCCTAACAAACAAGCCAACTTCCGCTTGAGTTCCACTAGATTCCCCAGTAATATCACTATCTATCTGTTCTTTTGATTTTAAGATAGATTTAATATCCTTATAAGAGATATTATCCTTTACATAAAGCATATTATCTCTTATATGCTTAAATGATGGGGGTAGAGAACAAAGCAGTAACACGGCTTGATCCTCATCTTTAATTTCAGCATCTATATTACTCAAATCCATAAGAATGGAATCAAAGGTNTTGGCCTAATTTTGGATGATATAGTAAATTTGCTCCACCTTCTCCGCAAAAGCCCCAATGGGCATATGTCAAAATTTAATACCATCAAAATCAGACAAATTGTCTGATATCGAAACTGTAGTAGGGCCTATAACAGTGGATCCTAATAAAGTATACAACGAACCAGATCTGTGTGCTTTCATGATCACAAGAGCACCATGAGAAACTTTCAAAACTCCACCTTCACCTGTGTACTTGCACCCAAGAGATTCTAGAGTGCCCAAAGAGATGAGATTTTTCTTCAAGTCAGGAACATGTCTAACATCAGTGAGAATTCTCACCACACCATCGTGCATTTTGATTCGGACTGTACCTTTTCCAAAAACTTTGCAGGCAGCATTGTTGCCCATCAAGACAACTCCACCTCCAATAGATTCATATGTGGTAAATAAATACCGATTGTGACACATATGATAAGAACAACCCGAATCTAAAATCCACTCATTGTTAGATTTGAAACTATTATTAGTTGCTAAAAAAATAGTTCCCTCAGTCTCATCAGCAGCTACACTTGCTTCGGCAATGTCAGTATTTTTGTGCTCATTTTTCCTTTCCTTATGCTTTTCTTTATTTTTCAGCTTATAGCATTCAGAGATATTGTGACCTTTCTTATGACAATAGCGACACTCTAAATTATTGTATCTGGATATGGAGTCGGATTTACCCCTAACAAACAAGCCAACTTTCGCTTGAGTTCCACTAGCTTCCCCAGTAATATCACTATCTATCTATTCTTTTGATTTTAAAATAGATTTAATATCCTTATAAGATATATTATCCTTTGCATAAAGCATAGTATCTCATATATGCTTAAAAGATGGGGGTAGAGAACAAAGCAGTAACACGGCTTGATCCTCATCTTTAATTTCAACATCTACATTACTCAAATCTATAAGAATGGAATCAAAGGTGTCAAGATGAGAGAGAATAGAGGTACCTTCACCCATACGAATTGTATAAAGTTTCTGCTTCAGGTAAAGTCTATTTTCTACCGTCCTCTTCATATATAAGGTTTTCAATTTTTCCCACATGCCTTTAGCTGGAGTTTCTACAGAAACTTCACGTAAAACCTTATTTGAGAGATTTAAAATGATACATGTTTTTGCCTTTTTGTCTATGATGGCAAATTCCTCATCCGTCATTTTATCCGGCTTCTTCTCCTTTTCTTGCAACGCCAAGTCTAAGCCATCCTGATTTAGGATAGCTTCCATCTTTAATTGCCACATTTCGAAGTTTGCACTTTGGTTAAATTTTTCAACATAGGTCTTTGTTAGAGTCATTTTTGGCTATTGAAACTAACCCGATTTGATCCGGCTCTGATACCAATTTGTTAGGATCGGGAACCCGAGTAGTGCGGAATTTAGCCAAACAACGGTATAACGACAATAACAAAGACAATGGAAGTTGATAATAACGACAATTAAAGTAGATAAAGAAGACACAAATTTAACGTGGTTCGGTCAAAGTGACCTACGTCCACAAGCGGAGAGGAGCAATTTACTATAACAATAAGAGTACAAAAGAGAGTACAAAATTAGAGTAAACACTATAATTAATCCCAAATACCCTAAGAGAATAATCTCACAAGATCACTCCAAATAAAGGGTTCACACAAGTGCTTCCCAACACTAACTCTCATACAAAACACTCTTAATAAAGGAAGAAAAGAAGAAACAAGAATTGAAGACAAACATTGTTGNAAGTCTTGTTGGTGTGTCTAAAATGAACTAATGACCTTCCCTTTTATAGGCAAAAAAGTCTTGACCTCTTAGGTGTAAAAGAAGAGATACAACTTGTGCAAATGATGTCCAACACACAATGTAATACTTTTGGGTCCCAAAGAATATTGCTAACAAAGTCTACACTTTGCAAAGATACTTATGCTTATGTGAGATGGACTCCATTTGACAAAATAATGGCCATATTACAACTACTATAGCCATTCTTTTACTTTTACTGCTCCTCTGTTCTTCCGGGGACAAATCGAGGCAGAACTTTAATCTTTATATTCGTCCAAATACAAAGTTCTAGTCTTGATATTCGTTCGATACAACCTGGACGTATCGAGTTCGAGTATTGGTTCTTCATTATGCACACTCCGGAGAGTATTTGGGCTTATTTGTTGTTATTGAAGTTACTGGATTTTTAATCTTCTTATTATATTGTTGTTCCGCTTTCGAACAGGTTAGTTTCCTGAACGACGCATTACCGATTCCTTTACGTGTTAGTTATTGTTAGAATAGACTAGTCCTCCTCTTCAGCTTTTGTTTTCTTTACTCTATTTGTGTGTTCTGTATACTCTTCGCCATGCCGAGTGCCATGCGGCACTCTATTGAAATTATGCCCATATAATAACTAGGTACGCCTCTCAAATCCTGGTGTGTTTTTTATCTTTTGACTTTACGTGTGATGTTTTGAATATGCGACAACCTGACTATAAAGGTCTTTAGGATTTGTTCTGGCATTTTGGTAACTAGGAAATCATTTCTTTTAATTAGGATTAAAGATTGGATAAATAAGAGTAGCATCAACTTATCTTCGATTTAGTTTAGGAATTCTGCCTAAAAGACTTCGAATGATATTTGTAAGTTCCATGATCGTCACTCTTTGAATATAGCTGAATTCATATTGCATGGATATCATTTCAGTAAGTATTTCTTAGTTAATAAAAGGCGACATTGGATTGTTAAAACTTCATCCGTTAAACCTTAAGGTTGTTTGCCGGTCTTATATGTTTAAAACTACCTTGCCGAAATCAATGCACTTGTTTTGTCACTTAGACACCATGTTTAGGATTAAATGACCTAATATACTACATGTCCAGTTGTGGATAGTATGTCGGAAAGCTAAGAGTTATATTTGTTTGCTTTGTTGGCTATAACATTACTGCCAGGATGTTCGCAAACACATAGATACCATGTCCTTAGGATTTTAATTCATCTAGATATCCAGTCTATGGATAAAACATCCAGATAACTTGCTATCCCATAATGCTTGCCCTTTATTTAGGTTGAATAATTGTTTATCTGATTTGAACACTAGAGATACTCTATTTAATTTAGGAACTAATAGTAAGGGAAGTCAACAACTTTGTTTGTGTTGCAGACTATCGAGCCGTATTTCTCAACAGGTTATTTACATGGCTAAACTGCAAACAGTTTGAACCAATTACTTGAAGGATGGCCTAATTCGAGCATTGGGAGAGAATTTGGAGTCGCCTGGGAAGGGGAAGGTTTAAGAATTATTGTGTTGGAATTTACTTGGCGCCTGAAGCTCATTAGTTTAGCCTGTGTTGTAATGTTGGTCTTATAATGCTACAAAAAAAGGGTTGAATAGGGGCTGGAACTTGTTTGTCACTAGTTGCTGCTATGTGCTATTTGCTATCGTGGTTTGTTTCTATTTTTACTAATCATTAAAGTCATGCTTTCATTTTCAATATTATTACCATGCTTATAGAATTTATGTAACAGGGAGAAGTTATTTTCTGTTTGTGTTATTGTGCTGATAATAATGATTTTTAATGCATTCAATTTCCTTTTAACAGTGGAGATTGCTAATTGTTTTAAACCTGTCGTCAAACTAGTTTTACAAAAAATTCTCTTGATTCATTTCATGAAATTAACAAGAACTGTTAAGTAAGTATAGTCTTCCTATAATATTTTTATTTATTTATTAAAGGCTTGGGGGCTAGTAACAATCTTTGTATACAAGTTTTCTGGCATACGATTTTCAAATCATGTATCTTATTTCAATTCCTCTTTTTATCTACCTTTACATAAAAGAGTACGTAACTTTATACTTTAATCCAAACTACTTTTTCTTCTATTCGACATTTTTAGTAATTTTATAATTATGTTCATTCTTGTATGCTTATACTTGAGTTGCGTAGTATTAATTCAAGAAAGTTATTATAAGAGCTCATTTCACTACTTTAATTATCATCTCTCAACTTAATTAATTCGGAGGCCAACATGAGCCATTTCTTGCCTTATAATATGTTATATAGTCGAGTCTTTACCTGTTTGCCTTATGTGACGCTTAGCTAAATCAAAAGTAGTAACCTTAGTTTTATTTGAGTCTAGAACTTCCTTTTAGATAGTGTCCAATGCCTCATGGATTATAGGAATGGGACGGGTAGGCTTATTAAGGCACGATATAGAAATGATTAGTGCGCTTTAAGTAACAACTTAAAGATAGTAATAAGGGTAGCAGACATAATACACAAATTGCCCGAATAGCCATTGCACTTTTGGCTATAAAAGTCTTAGCAGACTTTGCACGGGAGTTGATCCATTAAACTTAAAAACTTAGGCCCCCTTTAGCATAATTAATTAGTCTTTCATGATAATATTTATTACAACTCTTACATGTTTTTATTCTTTTCATGATTAGTTTTAATTCATTTATGTGCTTTTAATTGATATGCATATTTAACCACCTAACATTAATTAACAACTCACCAACCTACAACCTAGTTTAACCCAATAATCCCATATAGTTTAAAATTCGGCCGGGAACCACATTTGTGGATCTCAAAGAGTGCGTAACACCTTCTCTTTGAGGTAATTTGAACCCTTACCCAATCTTTGGTGACACGGACTAGTTAAAACAGAGTTATTTACAAATAGGTGCCCTAACGCACCTTAAAATCGTTAGGTGACGACTTTTCTCTTTTAATACCCATTTAATAGAGTTGTCACATGTCGAAGCCCACTTTCGCGAGAAAATGGGGCGCGGCAGTAATTGGCAAGTTATTTGTTGTGCTTTGATGCTAGACACCTATGGCCCTACGACGATAGTTGAAAGGATATTGGGTACGATTAAATACTTGTAGAATTAGTGATTGATCAAGATGGAATCTGTCAACTCTTGGTAATGAGTTTAAGCTCCATGTTGTCATGAATTATAAACGACCAAATTAAGACCTTGGTTAGGGCAATTGAATGAAAGAAGAAAAGAGTTTCTTAGGTCATTCAATGGTCGATTATAATTGACTTGAACACATAGTTGGTCGCCTATTAGGATTTGACAGTTGAACCATATCCTAGGGTGACCCAGAGCTATAAGGACATAAGGAATTACTACATTATTCTTTTACTGGTTCTTGAGAGTAAATTGTATACTTCATGCTATCCGGTCGTTAACGAGTGTTGCTAGACGTCACCCTTGATTAGTATATTGATATGATCAATTTACTACCGGCTTAGTATTGAACCTATGGGGTCGCACACTAACGAATGTTATGATCTTTGCTGAAGGATTAATTACTTTATCATTTGATAATTAAATTAAAGAATTTAATTAGTCAAATAAATGAAGTTATTAGTCCAAATAAAATGTTATTATATTCTTTGCTAGCACAGAGAATATAACTAATATTTTGAGTGTGAGATATATATAAATAATATTTATTAATTTGTTGTTAAATCCAATTTTGAATTGGATTAACTTATAAAGTCCATGAAAGGACGAGTGGCTAACTTAACCCATTGAGAATGGGATTTGATTTTTCTATAATAAGGATTTTATAATCCAATTTGGAATTGGACTTTGTGGAAAGTCCATAGAGATTGGCAGTCACGAGACCCATTGAATGGGATTTCGAACTGTCCATTGAAAATTCCATAAAAGTTTATTTTTGGAATTAAACTTTTACCCTAAATAACTCATTACCTCAACCAAATAGGAAAATGATTTATAGGTGATGCTATATAAAGGGTGGTGGAAAAAATATTTGTCATAATATTGTTTCGAGAAGAAAATCACTTTGTGAAAGTGAGAGTACAATACAAAGCCAAGAGAGAAAGAACAATTATAAGAAAAGTGTTTTCTTGTTCTTCTATCTTTGAAGTTGAGATTTTTGAGAAAAATTTTAACACAATATTTCATTCAATTTGTTCGCGGGTTTCATTGATCAAAGAGTTGATAACAAACATCAGTCTCGGTGTGGATGCGCATAAAGTCTTCGCACTATCGAAATATTTTTTGAAACAAGACTCTCTTCACCAGGTACGTCTTAGATCCAATCTTTGACATGTAAATAAATTTTAAATACGAAAAGATCTGCCTATGATTGTTATTGTCTTCCGTTGTGTATTACGAACATTTATATGCAATCCTAGGATACATACATTAAATATGGAAGTATCTAGCTGGAAACAAATTGTATGTCTATATTAGTAAAATACGTAAAAGAAACGGACCCACACTTAACAAACATTAAGGCATCACACGCTTTCAATTATCAGTGCATTGTAATTTCTGTCTCAATGTTGTAATTTCAGGAAAAACTAACGTTGCTATGTCGAAGAAAACTGTAGCTGAGCGTTGTTAACTTCGGTAAATATTCTGCAAACAAAATATGAAACTCATGTTAATTTGGTATCTCTGCCATCATTTGACACTACTGTCGTACCAGTGCATCCAAAATCCCCCCCATTGCAATTGAGTCCATCCCTGCATTGCACCATCACCGTTCATTATAACACTGAAATCTACATAAAATAAAAATATTTCAGTGAAACTTCAGACATGATTTATAAAATTGCAGAAAGACTTTAAAAAAATGATAGTATACATACGATTTATATTGCCTAAATTGAGATTTTCGTAGAATGTATGAATGCATTTATCAACATCTTCTCTAGTGCCGCATACCTTCCTTGGACAAAGAGCCAAACAAAGCCTCGACATTGAAATGCACAGCTGATGTCGCAAACCAATTTCTTTGATTTTACAATTCAACCAAATTGCTAGTGCATGCGTGACGGTCGTACCATTTTATTCTATAAGTTAAAAGAAACTTTTCATTAATTCTTGAATAGAAAGTAGTCGTTTTACCAACAAATCATGATTGAAGCTTTCTGATGTACTTAGTGAGCTTATATAGGCATATATGGGGAATACAAAAGGATGCCAGAAAATTATACATTAAACAGAGTTATTGACATATATAATCACCAAATTAAAGGATATAGAAACGGAAGATAGAGGGAGGGGAAAAGCTTGAAAGAGAACATAAATAGGCATTAAGTATCCAATAAAGACACAATTATGGACCGGGGAGGGAAAAAGTTAAGTAATTGTACATAAAGACTAAGTTTCTTAGCTATTAAAAATAAGATAAATAGAGAAATGGGGATGGGAAAGCCAAAAAAAAAAGGAGAAAAAAGATAAATGAGTTCTTTGGCCAAAGATAGGTGGCAAATTATTTTTTTATTGCCCTCCTTTATAAATACATAATATAGATTTATTTATTTGTCGATATAGTATCTTAAGTCAAACACCACTGAACTAGATGCTCATGTAGCAATCTTCTCCCATTCCCTTTGCTAAAAGATAAATCTCATTTTTAATCTCTTTCGAATTTCTCTTTGTTGTGCAATGTCGCAATCTCATTTGATGTACTTCACAAACGATAAAAAAAGAATAAAAGATAGAACAAATAAAAGAACAACATTAATATGCAGATACCTTCCTTTTCACGTCTCTCCATCGTAATATCGATTCATTAACAATTAAATTGTTAGAGTATTTGACCAATCAACTTAGATTATTCGAGCAATCAACTAATTCGAAACTTTTCACTTTTCTTTAAGTTAAAATGGAGGCAAGTGTAATACTCAAAATGTTGAAGAAGTCATATCAGAATGTACAATTAGTTAAAGGAAAAAAACCATTACCCTTTTGATTTATTAGCAGCCCTCATGTGTATACTGCTGTTTTTGAAACCCACAAAAAATAAAATAAAAAAATAAAACTGGTCGGCAAGAAGCACTATTATATTCTTGATTCTTTCTTCCATGTATATATGTGGATAAATGCATTTAGAAAAATCTTGTTTGTCATGCAAAAATTAGGCAGACAAAAAGGGCGGCTTGATTTAAAACAAGTCAGCTAGCAAGGTCTTTCGATGTTCACGTCCCCCAACAAAAGATCTTCTTCAGTGTAATCATTAGACTCATTATAGTGTTATAGGTTTTTTCTTATTCTCCCATGCAATTATTATTCATTTGGAATGATTTTGCCAGAATATTTACTAGAATTTAAAATATAAAGAAACAAGCACATAAAAAGCAAGAGGATTATATTCATCTAACCGAAAGGTAGCTCTGCCATGTGCATGGGGTTATATATTTACCTGTTTTTGGTAAAGTCGATAATTTTCTCAAGGGAATAATTAGTGTTAGTTTGAGCGCTCGTATGGATTATTAAAGAACTTGATTCTTTATCGTGTTCCTTAAGCGTAAAGTAAACAAGCAAAAAAATAAACACAACGATTTTTACGTGAAAAATCACCCGGCTCAAAAGGTGCAAAAACCACGACCTACTACGTAGGATTTTCAACTCCAACTCCACTAAAATAATGAGCTAAAATGTATCAATTACAAGACTATAATTAAATACTCTCCAGTACTCTTACTACTCCTATTTGATTCACAAGTTACTCTAACTTGTAAAGCAAAATACTCACTCCAACTCACTA